TTGACTTAATCTACTCACTCGGCATTTACCGTACAACACAACAAATATGCTTTGAAACGCGGCGGGTTTGCTAACGTTGTTACCCTAAAGAAAAACAAAAATGTACAGTAGAGCAAATCTCATGTACGAGCAAGCGATTATTATTAAATTAAAAACTCGAGACAAATCACTGTGTACGCGATATTTTGTGATAAATACATTTACTTCACAGTAGTTTATTTCTATACCTATTCAATTATTAATACAAATCGTCATTTAGGATATTCCAGGAAAACAACGGATCATAGTCGGTCAAATTGAAAACATGTATCCTTCTACACCTTTGCCAATCCAAACTGGTGGTAGTGTAAACCAAAACGGAGTGAAGTAACCGAAGTAACATCTAAATTTGAGGAATAATTTTACAAAATTAGTTTTTCGAGCAATGTAGATTTAGTGTAGTGCAAACTGGCAAGAACGCGAGTGACACATCCAGCAATACGAACTACGGGCGCGCTGCGGACTGGGGTACACACAAAGATGTAAGGGGGCGTGAAAGCTGCGTATGGGCGCCAGAGCACGAGAGTGTGGGTGCACACAGTGACCTCTCAGCTTGTACAGCCTGCATAATCATCGATAGAGGGACCAAGACGGCCAGCAACCCAATTAGACAGAGTACATCTAGGATGAGAGCTTTGAGCTGCGCTTGCAGACCGTGGGGAATGGAAGGAGAAAAGGTTGCAGCTCTGAGTTTCCTTCTCAAAAACGGCGCTCAGCGATTGACGTGCCATCAAGCGCTCGTGTTGGGGCTGCTTGCCTGGACGGTCAGCACTAACGGCGTCCTGTTATCGAGGCGACCATCGAACAAGATATATTCATCATTTTGCTTTACACTAAATCCGCATTGGTCTGGATTAATTTTGGGGATTTCTAAAATTTTTAAAAATATTTTTTTTTAAATAAGGGACACTCCGTTTTGGTTTACACTACCACCAGTTTGGATTGGCAAAGGTGTAGTAGAAGGCTTGGTGGCTCAGTTTGTGACAAACGAACTTTGTGCAGCGAGCAGATAGTAACTGCTGCTGCTAGTAGTAGGCATTTGGGTCATAGATGTAGATCGGAGCCAGATCAGAGATGGGGAGTATTCCAGTTTGCAGTTTTCCGTCAGTGAGGACGACTCTACTTTCGCTGGTTTGATGTCGAAGCCGCTGAGCGTTTAGGAAAATATCGACCTCCTCAGCACATACGCTTCGGTTCCTTACTACATGTACTACCCGGTATGTTGACAATTGAAAGGGGAGCTGCAAGCTGGAATGCTTCCCATCTCTTATCAGGATCCGATCTAGAACGTAGATCATCTACGTCTATGACCCAAATGCCTGTTGTTAAGAAATCAGCGCCTGTTGTTATCTGCTCCCGTTTGTGCGTCGCAAAACATTAACGATTAGCGATTTGGTTCTTTCACATTGCATACACGTAAAATTTGTAATTTTAGGACTGGTATTTGTAAAAAAAACACAACAGACTTTTGACTTTAGTGTTTGGATTCAATTTTTCCACGTAAAAAGTACAAAGTTTGAAAACATTTATTAACAATACGTGGAATAGTCATCGATTTTTACAACGGTCACAAGAAGACAGCTTAACCATTTTTTAATATGCTCACATGGTCCGGATCTGCAATACATCTATCTATTTCCTTCAAATGTAATGAACAAACAGCTCATGCCCACTGTATACGGCAGCACCCATATCAACATCCTTGGACGAGGAATCTCCATGCCGGTACGTCAATAATAAATACTGAAATTAGTCCCCGGACGAGCGGGAGCATCTATCCACAAAAAAAAACTGCTCGATCAAAAATCCGAACACAGATTTTTACTAGTACGGTACTACCGTCTTACCGCGTACTAGACGCCTAGGCGTTCTAATGTAATAGAGCGCCTACTGGGCGGTGTATTCCTGTAGTACGCCTAGGCGGAATAATTCGAGGGAGTATCTCAAATGAGACGAACGCGATCACCTAGGTGGTTTATATGAGGGAAAAGGAAAATCGAGATGAGCACGACTTCACCAGCACTGATAATGTATTATAGATGAAAGCCGTTAACCTCGAGAAAGTAGTAATGACCGATTCGAGCCATACAAATGGTTTTAACTGGGTCGTCGACGCTGTACGCGAATGCTTCGACAACACGGCAATCCTCGTCCAGAGTTTTCACTTCAATATTGCAACGATGCTTGCGAACGGCGGCAAACAACTCAAGCTCGCCGCCTGGAATCTCTCCATCTTGTAGCGCCTTCAAATATGCTTCGTCGAAAAGGCCATCTAGATCTTCTAAAGTCTTCATGTACTGGATCAAGGAAGCCACATAATCCGGTGTGTCTGCGCCAATGCCATGCTGCAAACAGAAAAACAAGCTCCTTCGGATATCTTCAGGGATGTACCATGCCGGGTTTGCAATACACAGCTCCTCGCGATCGTCAACATTCGACACAAGAGCTTGGTATCGCTGATGCCACTCATCCATGCTGATTTCGCCACTAATAAGCTGTCTGAGAGGCGGATGCAGCATTTCCATGCTGAAAGCTGACCTACGAACAAGCCCACATAGCTCGAAAGCATGATAAATCTCCTCACTCGTTTTGCTTGCTGCCCACTCAAGCACCCATTCGGCGACTTTAAAGTACTTTGGTACTTTTGGATTGCCAGCAGGCGTTTGAAGCGCCGAGTCACACAGTGCTTGCGCAATGTAAGTGTCATACTTGTCCCGATAAAATTCTTGAAAGCTGCGGTTAACGGCAACATCCAGCGGCTGGCAGAGACTCGTAAGGTTGGGTGGGACTAACAGCACATGAACGTTGTAGTTGCGAAGCCGTTGCTCATCAAACATTTTGACATGCGCCGCGTAGGAATCGATGATGTACAGGACGTGCTGGCGATAGAACTTTGTCTCTTGGCGACCGCAAATGACTTGTTTAGCGTGCTCTAACAAGATTTCATCGCTCCACATTCCGGAATTGTTAACGTCTACCATGACGCCTGGTGGACACACAGGTTTCTTCTTCAACTTCGAGAACAACAAGTGAGGGGTCAAGATTTGGCCGTCTCCAGTGATCGAGAATGTTGCAGTGAAGCGTTTGTGGCTCGTTCCGCCTTTTCGCAGCAAGACCTCACGTGAGCCTTTGGTCGTAATTGTTGTTTTCGGTTCGGTCTCGAAATACCCCGGAACCTGATCCATGTTAATGACATTGCAGGGTTGAATGTTGTGCTTTTCAATGAGAGCTTGAGCCTCATTGATAAAGGCAAGACAAATAGCTGCAGCATCGACCGGAAGCGTTCTGGTAGTTGTTTGGCGGCGGGACACTAGATTGTATCGGGTTTTGAAGCGGTCCAGCCACCCCGAAGATGCTTTGAATGGGTCGGGCTGCTTATCGGAGTCGACAACTACCAACTTGCTGTGAAGGTTGAGAGCTTGAAGTTGTATATACTTGTCTTTGACACGCAGTCCTTTGTTGTTTCTCTCAATGATCCACTCGTTTAGGTCCTTCTCCAGTTGTTGATGCTGTGGGTTTCTACCTGCTCCAGGCAGACGCCGAGCTGTTCGTGTCGCTACTTGTCGGTCTTTGGAAGCGGCATGAAGCTTCTCTCGGTTGCGGTGCCAATCGCGAACCAATGATGGAGACGTCAATTCGTACTTTCTTAGCAAGCGCGTTGAACCCACACCCTTTAACGTTGAACTTGTACTCGCTGATTACATGCAGCTTGAACTGTAGGCTATAGCTGGAGCGTTTTGAAGGCATGCTTGTGCGTGTTTTTGAGCAAAATGGGAACTGCCAAGGCACTGAAGGAGGCAAAACCAGCTCGGTCGGACAGCGTCGGCCATCCATCGGCAAAACCAGCTCGGCCGGCCAGCGCCGGCCATCCATCGATGAACACAAGTTTCAGCATGCCGTATGTGCTACTACCACATGGTCATGCTAGGCGTTGTATTTGAATAGGCGTTCAATACGAGGGATTCTTCTCTCCAAAATGATTTTGACTTGATCGTATTAAACGCCTAGGCGTCTAGTACGCGGTAAGACGGTAGTAGATTTCGTGCCGTCCAACACGAGAGCAAGGAGCAGATACCGGTAGTCGTGCTCGCTCCCTCAGTGCTCGTTCCATTCCAAGGGGTCGACTATGATTGCGTGTATTTTCCGAACGTATTCATAACATGAATACGATCGGGAATTCACGCAATCATGTACTGAATGTCTTGACGATTGACTTTTCTCTAACGATTATGTGACGTTTTTTTACTTCAAAGGAAAAACCAGAAGTTCTGGCAGAACCGGTATGCAGAAGTACAGTACTGCACCCCGTTTTCGCGCCTTTGGACCTTTGATAAACTTCCGGATGTGATGATCCTGAATCCAAATGAACTATAGTTTGTAAGCTTCAATTTGGTTTATTTGCAAGTCCTATATTGTCCACCCCGCGAAAACGAGTGGCAGTACTGTACTGTACTGTACTCTCTTTTACAAAACTGCAAGCAAATATCTCTCCAGGAGGAGAGTCTCCTGGACTTGACCAATCACAAAGATTTACAAATGCACCATATGTGATAAGAAAACTAGGAATGAAGATGAATGTCTAAATAGAAGTAAGAAGTAGTGTTTAAAGGTAGGTGTCTATTAATACGAGCGGTATTACGTGGTACCAACTATTTATACTACCGTTCACTGTATCCAGAATGCGATTTGTTATTTCGTAAAACACCAGCAATACCTTGAAAAAATCATTAGCTTTGTACGGAGTAAAGTGTTCTACTCAATACGTGTCACCGCCCACTTTTCGTTTATCCCGCGACCGCTCAAGCTCTTCCGCACCGACTCATAGGACTTACGATGCGCGTCAGCTCTTATCTTCTCGTCGTCGCCGCTTCCTTTCTTGCTAGCTGCGATGGGGTCTCAGCCACTAGCCGGACCAAGTTATCGGCCGCGAGCCCAGCTGATGTGGAGCCGTCGGTGGATGTTGGCCCAGCGAAGAGCGTAAGATTCTTGCGAGGCAAACTCGAGCAGCCAGCCCACGCCCAGGACACTCCAGAAGAAGAGAGGTCGATTCCAAGTTTTAAGCTTATCGACGATGTGCTGCAGAAGTACAAAGTAGACATGAGCGCGGTGAAGAGGCTACAAGCTACCCAAAGCGGAAACGTGAACAAGCTGGTCCTGGACGTCAACGGCAAGTTAAAGACGTTCACTGACGTTGACATTAAGTACCTGCGCCAGAAGCTGAAGAACCCGGATATCAAGGGCCACCTCCAGGCATGGAAAAAGGCAGAGGCAAACCCTGTAGTTCTTTCGGAGCGATTGAGGAAAGCTGGTTTTGCCAAGGACAGTACCGTTATGGAGGCCCTCGGTATTTACAAGGCCCAAATGCTGAGAAAAAATAAGCTGCTGACTTTGAAGAACCCGTAACAGGGAAAGAGACTACTTAGGACGGGCGTTTCTACACAATTTACTTGTTTTTCTCTATTCGAGAGTCTGTCACTCGTGTGTAGGGTTGTTGTCTGCATAGTTTTAACTTTTCGTGTAATGGCTCTATGCCTTGGGTCTGCGGAATGAAGATATTAGCCTGGGTCCTTCGCTTTAGGTCGGAAGGAGCGTGGAAGCGTTTAAAAAATATTGAACTATCGTTGCGCGTGCAGTAGCTCCCTGTAAGTACTAGCAGCTCCTTTCATGCAGTTTTGTAGCTAACGTCGTAGCTCAAACACGGAAATCTTGAAGGCTGAAATAGAAATCGAGATAAAGAGAAATCATGAGAGATTCTTTCTCGGTGGGCAGGCCAGCTGCGCCGGCCTCACACCGCTAAGCTAGCGAATTACTGGTAATATCGATTAAAAAGCTTACATATTTAACTTCTTAGTCTGATTACGAATTAATCGTTGACGTCGAGAAGCGGCTTTCTTTGTGAGCTCCTAGGAGGGGTTCTCTTCGTGGTTGACCCACATGTTAGTGGACATGGTGCTATCGGATGATGCTAAAGTTAAAAATTGGCTTAATTATTCCTCATTCCGGTGCCATTCCCCGTGCTCTTAGCGAAGTCGAATTTGCTTTCAGGGCGGGTTCTTGGTGGTGGATATGCAGGTTCGTATGCGGCTTTTTGTTTTTATCCTATGTATTCATAAAAAAAAACTCAAGTTGTGTTCTACATTCACCCAGCCGGTTCTAGCCAAAATATCGTTACTCATGCCACTTAGTCGATATCGCTGCGAATACAGAACATGTATGATACTCAAAATTACTTGATGTGGTCCACAACTATGTGTTTGATTGGTCAAAACTGTCAGAATGGGAAAATCAGCCAATGAGATGTTAATCACAAAACGCAACGTTGGTCACATCTTGAATGCTACAATATCAAGCATCAGACTTTTTTCAAATCTTCCTTTGTTTGCATTTATTCACTTTTACCGCGTAAAAGGTACAAAGTTTATATAAAACTATTATAGACGAGCGCCGCCGCTACGCGGCCTTGTATTCTAGTTGTTTGCATTCCCGCCGAAGCGAAGCGGAGGCGGGATAATTATTCTTAAACCTCTGAACCCCTATGTGCCTAAATCGACTTCTTTAATTTCATAAATCTGGGTTTGATTTAGACCAGTCGCTACAAAATTCTGAGTTCCCAGTAAGCCGTGCAAATATTTTTACAAAAGACTGAGTCTCTAGCATCATACTGACCATGCTATTCTAGTGATCTTGACACAGTCTCTTTATTATTGTTGGCTATCACTGTCAAAATTACCTGCATTTCAAATAGCATGCTACACAATATATTTAATTTAGCGTCGTGCTCGATATCATGGGCCGTTTTTGTGCCGCTATGAAACTTAGCTCGCATCAATGCAAAGAATAGTAACGGCCTGCCCAGCTTGCACTAAATAACTGCGTGTACGGTCTGTTAGAGCTTGTAATTAACTAAAGATTGCAAAACTCAATGAAAGCTAAAAAATATTCAAACTGTAGCATTTCTAGTGCATTGAAGTGCGTCCATTTTGTGGTTATTCAAAATTAGTCATTAGTTACTCGAATCTGCCAGTTATGATTAAAACATTTGGAAAATGCGCCTTGCTGTTGTTATTAGCGGCGGTATTTGTTATTTGGTAGTTTAAATAAGATTCCAGAATGGTTTAACGATCAATTATACTCTAAGCTTAACGTTTCTTGATGGGGTCTAATTAACTAACCCTAATTTACGCATCTCATATTGTGTTGTTGTCTATCCGCTCCATTTAAAACTTTATCCTACGCCAATATTGGCGACACGTCCTCCGGTTTAGTAGTTTCAGATTTTGCTGTCTAAAAAACGTTTAGAAAACAAAGGCCAAGGTCCATTCGCTTACAGTAGTAATTGTCACCAGCACATATTAGTTATTTTCGCTCCATCTGAGACTATCTATCGTTATGGCTCAAGCGACAACGTTTTTAGCACAGAGTTGCTGTTGCAGCCAGTTATTACGGCCAGCTACTGTTGCTCTACGAATTGGCAGCTACCTGATGGAAACCCACTCAGGTAACCTATGTTTACAGCACAACAATCATGGTTATTATTTTAGCTGATGATTGTCATCGTAGCTTGCCGGTGCATAACTTGATCAAAAACGATAGGGTACAGCGTATTCCGTATATTAAAATCATGTCCTCGGAAATGCGCATTCTTACGTATCCGCTTAGCACCTTGCGACATTAAAACCAAGCGATAGCACTCGAATATTAAAAATAACAGCATTAAAAAATGTAAATATTATTAAAACGATGCCACCTTCGGATGGTGGATAGCCTTGTGCAAATCTTACTTTGGGTCTAGTCGGCCGCCGCCGCGACGCGGCGGAGGTGGCAGGTTTTAGTCGCAGGGGAAAAGGCTCCCGCCTTCGCTGCGCTCCGGCGGAAACATATTTGATGTAAACGTGATGTATTAAGTGCGTGTGAAATTGAACATTATTACTTTGAACCCAAAGATCTGCCCTGTAGACAATGTTCTGGGTGTAAACCCCATCCTGATCCTCCAGCTTTTTGGGTACTCGACCAGCGCCTTGAATCTTGATCATGAAGTCACTCGCAACATCGCAACGTACAGCTGCCCGTGGGAGAAGCAAGCTGTAGCTAGATACAGCCCCAAGTACTGCACCGTTTGTCATTGCGCCTTGTTAATGGTCATTGCAAAAACCGGTTGGATATGAAACTGCTTTCGTCTCACATGAAATGGAAAACTTCGAATGGCTCCATCACTGATTAAAACAATGCGGGGAATCAGCACATGTTGCCCCTGTCGCTCACCTGTCCTGATTGTGGCGTGAATGCCATGTGCCTTGAGGGCCACGATTCGAAGCCGTGATCCGTTGCAAAGCCCTAGATCTGAATTTAGGTTCCGCTTCATCATGATAGGCATCCCTACCTTGAGGGTCAGCTTGTGGGGAGAAATTCCACTGATAATCATCGAGTGGAGTACCTCCTGCTCGAAGAAATTTCCGTCACCATCGTCTTGTACAGAATCCGAAGACGTGTATTCACGCGCCTGTCCCGTTAATCGATCGGTCACCGCTTCATTGATGCGGTGCACGATTGCGTTCGTGGTCGTGAGGATCGTTCGGTTAGCGAAATACTCGTCGGTAGCAACCTCGGGGTTATTAATTGCGCCATACATCTCGTCAATGATCCGACCCATGTCTCTTAGAATAACGTCAGGACGAATTTCCTGGTCCTCGTCCTCGGACACAGGTGGATTCCCCCCCCCCGCCCCCGACTTGCAGCAGGAACTCGGAGAACCCAGCCATTTTCTCAGCAGTGTCCGCCACCTCAGCTGTGCGCACTCGCATGTTTTCCGTGAGTCGGAACGTCTGAAATTGGGGCCACATTCCAGACGACTTAAGGCAGGCGTCGATTGTCTCGACGGGTGTTCCATTCTTCACGACTGGGAGAATCTGACGGAAATCTCCCGAAAGTACTAACACTTTCCCGTCAAAAGGCTCGGTATCGTTGTCAAATATGTCCCGCAGTGCTCGATCTACTGCCTCGAACGCGTGGCGATGGGCCATGGGCGCTTCGTCCCAAACAATCAAACCTGCATGCTTGATCTACTCCCGAATATGGACATTCTTCCTTATACCGCACGTCGAGCTCTCGTTTAATTTCAAAGGTATTTTGAAGGTAGAATGCGCTCTTCTACCACACATGAGCAAGAGCGAGGCAATACCACTGGACGCCACAGCGATGGCAATTTTCTTCGAGAGTCTGACTTCGGTCAGAATGTTTTGAAGCAGTGTAGGTTTTCTAGTACAACCCGGGCCATCGATAAAATCATACTTCTTGCTCCTCAGGACAGTCTACCGCTTCAAAAATCTGGTCGTAAACCACCCGTTGACCTTCGTTCATCCAATCTTCTGTGTTTACAATCGCCTCGAAAGCTAACGCATCGTATCATGTGAGCTCACGTCGCTGTAATCCGATTTTGGCGAGTACTTCACGAAATAATGTGGGGAACGACCCTAATTGAGGGAGCTCGTCGAAGTCTCCTACCGCATATCCGTTCGCTTGAAGTTGTTCTTGAATGTTCATCAGCGTTTCAAATTCTACCAGCGCCGACTTGAAGGGGTCCATCAAAGCCTGATGTTTGCGTGCGAAATCCTGTGAAATATCTGCGAAAACCCGACCCCATAGAGCACCAACATTTGCTAGAGCTGAATACACCAGAATGGTGACAAAGCGCTGGCGTAGTTGACATAACATTTGAAACTCAGCAGCTTCCGTCAAACACGAAACCCACTCGTTGTCATTCTCCAAGTAGCCACCCTCCCGCGCCGCAATTTGGAATGTGGGGTAGACAGCCCCGTTAACCGCTCTCAAGTCTTCAAATGACATTGGACCTTTACGCTGACAGAGCAATAGTCGAAGATAGAACCGCTCAAAATCTTGAGGCGACACGTGGGTCATGCAATGCAATCGCAGCTTGATACTGTTTTCGGCGTACCCACCTTTTCGGTTGCTCTTTCTCCGGCACTTTCCAGCAGAACGCTTTGGGGGTGTCCTGATACAGCATCGTCCTGGCAATATGATTCTCGGGCACTTCACTCGCACACAGCTCAACGAATCTGGTCGACATTGTGTGGCTACCACGTTCCAAAACCACCTCCGGGTTTTCCGTCTCGTGGAAGCAAACAGGCTGCCCTGACTCGAGATGAACTGTTAGCTGTGTCACTGCATGAGTTTTCCCCTGAATCGTGAAATCGAGCAGGCACATGCAAGCTTCCACAGGAGAAATGTTTTGGGCGCTCAAGAAACGTAGAATATCGTTTGGTTCTCGACGCGCAGTCTGCTAGCCTCCTCGAACTTCTTCCACAGTGAGTGTAGCCATGTCGGGCCCTTTGTACACATACTTGTACAGGTATTTAACCGCAGATATATCCGTGTACACTTCCACA